AATCTTCAAGTTGCAACGGAGCTCGTCATGTGAGATGTTGCAATCATAAAAAGAATCATACTGAATAATTTTGAACTAGAAAGATGTATTTTTCAGATATTATTATCTTACAGATTTAATATAATTATTAGCATATCAAAATGTAATAAAGTTTAATTTATTCTTATATAATATAACCACTTCTTTTTCTCAATCAATATAATAACAGTTTTAAAATCTTTCATTTTATGCCTGTTTGTTTGGTAACTTGATAATATTATAATATTTGATGACGTGAATACCTGTTTATGAAAGGATTATTTTTTAGAATGGATGGAAAAACTTGACATATAAGATCACTAGATTATTGATTAAAATAAATAAAAAAAATAAAACTTTATTATATTAAATAAAAAAATTTGAAATTGTGTTTACATGATTGAGTTAAAACAATTTTTTTTCATTACACTAATTAAAAACTAACTTGTTTATATATATATATATATATATATATATATATGACGTTTCAAATGCAACTCATCACATTTGTACAACCAATTGAAATATTTATGTAAATTATGAGAGTTTATTTATTATGATTTGAATATTTATAAAAAAATGATTATAGTTCATTAATTATGATCAATACTTTATATTGAAAAACAATCAAAACTTTTATGAAATCAAATATTCATCAAATTAAATGAATGATTAAAATTAAGTTATATTAATTATATAAACATACACGATTACATAATAACCTACCCTCTATGTATATGTATGAGTTAACTTGAATGTAATGAAATTAAGGTAAATTGCATGAAAACGTAACGTACTTTAACTTGATTCCTATTTTGGGCAACATACTTTCAAAACTTTCATTTTGATACCTAAGATGTAAAGTTTTAAACATTTTAATACCTGGGTAACCCGGTGAAGACTAAAAAAAAAGACTAATTTTAGATTTAAAAAAATCCACGTCATTGACCACGTCAGCAAATAATATCGAGTTGGATATCACATCAGCATGATAATCAGTTAACACTTCAACCAGTTACCCGGATACTTAAATTTTTAAAATTTTACATCTTAAGTACCAAAATAAAAATTTTAAAAATAAGTTATCCAAATAAAAATCAAATTAAAATACGTTACTTTTTTATATAATTTATCCATGAAATTATCATGGATTGATGAGGGTATTGATTACAAGGTTTCCTGGAAATTGGGAAGTAGATGTAATAAAAAAGATGAGGAGCCGAAAGTTTAGAAAATTTAAAGCGCCACGTTAACCCCCAACCATCCACTTCCACTTCCACTCCTTTTATTCCGCCAAACAAACCGCTTTTTCTTGTCCCCCCTCCCCCTAATCAATCGTTTTCGTTTTCTAATCGAACAAAAGTTAAAGATGAGAAGCATAAAAATAAATTTGGATTTTTAATTATTTTAAATTTTAAATTTATTTATTAATTGTGTTTATTCTGAAAGTGATCCACTATATCATTTTAATATGTATTTAATGGTGAAGATTTTTTTTTACATTTTTCATTAAAACTGACCTTTAATTTTATTTTTAAAAATTAGTTTGCGTTGAAACTCGAAGTGATGTTAAGCAGTTGCAACGTTTTCATTCTTTATTTTGGTGTAGGTGTACAAAATTGGGACTTGTTTCTATGACAAACCCAATTTAAACAGAATACAAGGTTTGAAGAATTCTAATTTTTTTTATTGTTGATTATTTAATTCGTTTTTATTTTATTTTATTTGAATTTTTATTAATATTTTTGGTGGTTAAGTACTAAAAACCAGTACTTGATTCTTTAAAAAAAATTAGAAGAATAATTATCTCGATTTTAATGTTTCGTTTTATTTTGTCATATGTCGATGTTATAATACGGTTTTTTATGGTTTTGAGAAAAACGATAATGTTTTTAATTTTAAATGAAATATAAAATTGATGATATGTTAATATTTTTTTAAAAAATATATTGATATTAATATCAAATTAACTATTTAAAAATTCTCTTTGTTGTGTAATTTCTTTAATTTAATTTTTATTTTTATAGTTTAGTTTAGGTTTTATAACGAAACAATTTATTTTTGATTTAATAATATAATTTTTTATAATTTAATAATATAATTTTTTATAAATATAATAATTAATGATTATGTTAGAACATAGTGATTATCTTAATTATATTTAGATTTTTTTATATTTAAAATGTAATTTTTATCCGACATTTGATTATGTTTATATGCAGTTAGTTATACGAATTAAAGCACAGAGCTCTAATAAGTTGTACTTACTTATGCATTATTAACTTGTAATCTTGAATTTTAAGTAATATACATCAATAAACATTACTTTATATATAAGAAATGATTTTAAGAGTTTTTATCAAATATTTTATAATACAATATATATTATTTCAGATTTTTTTAATTTATAATATTGGGTTGTTTTTAAATTTAAAATGTTTTGAATATATTGGAATTTTTTTCTAGATACTCAGTTTTTCAAGTTCTTCAACCTAGCCAATCCAATCCATATACATTTAAAATAAATCAATACACACATGTATATATATATATATATATATATATATATTTCGTTTTAAATACAACCAATCGCATTTGTACAACTAATCCAACCTAATAAATTAAAATATTTATGGAAATGATGAGAGCTCATTTATTATGATTTGAATATATATGAAAAATGAATATGATTCATTAATTATGATCAACATTTTATATTAAGAAACAATCAAAACTTCTATGAAATCACATATTAATAAAATAAAATGGACGGTTCAGTTTGGGTTGTATTGGTTGCACAAATGTCAAGGGTTGTATAATAACCAACCCCTCTCTCTTTATATATATATATATATATATATATATATATATATATATATATAGATAGATAGATAGATAGATAGATAGATGGATTCTAATGAGATTATCTCCTTTTCAAAAATTCTATTTGTTACCTATTTTAATAACCTTAATACCAAATTGTTAATAATCAATATTTTTTCAGACAAGTCTTTAATGTAATGTTTGATACGCAGACACAATTGGATATGACAACAGACAGGACAAGAGGGTATGATTGGACAATAATGGACGAGATAAGACTGGACAGAACAAGTGTATGTCCGGTGTTTGGTATGACTAGGACTAGACTTGACAGGATTAGACAAATTGCCCCCAAATGTTATTTTATATTATATATATATATATATATAATAGTTATAATTAACACACATGAAGTAAATAATTTAATTTATAAACATTTTTACACAATCTTCATATACATAAATACAAAATAGTGCCAAATTTGAATTATTTTTCTATATAATTGATGATAGTTTGAAAAAACCCGATTTATAAAAAGGAGAAATTATGTTTTATTCGGTTCAAAAGATTCTTATCAATTGGTGAAGGCACGGAGAAGATTGTTGTAATAACAATGGTTGTGGAAGTAGAAGCATTGGTAATTGGTGGACGATGCTGGTTGTGCAGAACATGAAGATGGTGGTGGTGGCAATCGACATTGCTGGAAGACGTAGTTGTGGCCTATGTCTAGTGGTGGTGGTTATGGTGGAGGTGATGGTGGGAGACGATACTAGTATTGATAGAGATGGAAGGTAATGGTTGCGGAGGACGCGAATATGGTAGATAGTGGTGGGCGACAGTCGTAGTGATAGTCGGTGGTGGTGATGGGCAGTGGTCATGGTAGTAAATGGTGGTTATGGTGAAAGTGAGGTCCCCCATGGTGGTGGCGATGAACGGTGGTAGACGATGGTTGTGGAGGTGGTGAAGAAAGTTGTATAAGAGGAGAAGGTGAAGGTGGCCAACGATGATAGTGGTGGCGTCAATAGACGGTGGTGATTAGTGGCCCATGATAGTTATGAAGGTGGTGGAGATGGTTGTTGTAGTAGAAGAGAAAGTGGTGATGGCCAAATGGCAGTAGCGATGAATAGTGGTGGTCGATGGCTTATAGTGGTTGTAGAGGTGATGATAGACGTTGGTCAATGGTGGTTATTGAGGTAGTGGGGGAGGTGGAGGTGGCCGATGGTGGCTACTGGTGGTGACAACAGCCGCAACTAACGGTGATGACCATTAAACAAATATCATATTAAGGTTATATATCAAACGAGGTTTAATTAGTAATGTTTTAGTTTATATTTCATTATTGTTCCACACACTTTGGTTGTTTCACATTGTCCCGAATTGTCTCAGTTCTTATCCATCTCCTATGTCATAACAAACATAGGACAATGAGTTCTTGTCCTATCCCACGTCATCAAACGTGGGACAGTGAGTTTTGTTTCATCCTATCATAACATGTCTCATGTACCAAACGCAGCCCAAACGAACTAAAACAAACAATATATCAGTTAAAACCGAGGCAAAGTAAATCTTTTTAAAACTTAATTAATAATCCATAAGAAAAAATAACCTCAAATTAAATACCAACTAAATCAAATTTCATAGCATATTCATACATTTATCTTTCATTTGTTGATTTTCCAACAAAAATAAGTACTAAAAATATTTTTATACCACTTCATAAAAGGCTTAACAACACGTCAAATAACATAATTAATCTTAAAATAAATAATAATTTATTTTCATAGTTATTTAGGGGATGTATGAGATTGTTTATTTGAAACAACTTATGTTTTAAAAAAAAAAACACTTATCAATGTATTATAAGTCAGAATGGTATAACTTCTTCAAAAACTTTTTATTACCGGTTTGATACCGTTATAAGTTGTTCATTCAAACACTCAAAAGTGTTTATTACCGATGTCATACCGGAATAAATCAATAAATTGTATTTATAAGCAATTTTAAACACCCTTTATTTAAAAAAAAAAAAAACAATGAAAAAGATATTTAAATTAAATTATTAATAAAAAGTATCTATAGATATTTTATAGAGAATAAATATTATTTGATAAGAATCCAATTTCCACCGGCCACGTACCCCCCGATACACCGAATCTGTGATGACTACGTGTACTTCCGTCCTGCCTGGTGGGTGCTGTTTCCCATACTTGACCGCCGAAATCCACCATTTCTACGTCCCCATCTCTCCCTATACATATCCTTCTCTTCCAACAAACTACATTTCAAAATCGATTACTGTTTCTTCGATCGTGAACATGATGATTGCCAACATGGAACACACCATTTCATCGTCGCCTTCCTTGACTAGTTGCCGCCAATCGGCTGGTTTTTCCGATAAATCAGACGCTGTTCTTTCTCGTCGGAGGAGAACGGAACTCCGACGGTTGAAGCTTTTGACGTCAAATGGATCGGATGATTGTTTATCCAAGAGGAGGCGGTTTGAAAACATTGAGAACGAAGGCGATCATGATTTTCCTTATCATTCGTCGGTCATCGGACGGCGGAGGGAGATGGAGGATGCTGTTAGGATAGACTTAGGGTTTGTTCACGATGATGACTCGAGGAAGTTTGATTTCTACGGGGTTTATGATGGTCATGGTGGTTCGCGGGTTGCGTACGCTTGCCGTGAGCGGTTACACAAGCTGTTGGCGGGGGAGATGGAGATGAAAAATGGAACCACGGCGGCGGAGGAGATGAATTGGGAGGATTTGATGGTGGAGTGTTTTTCGAAGATGGATGATGAGGTGAACGAAACTGATCTCGTCGGATCAATGGGTTCGACGGCGGTTGTTGCGGTGGTTGGTGATAAAGAGATAGTGATTGCCAATTGCGGTGATTCAAGAGCCGTCCTCTCCGCCGGTGGCGCCGCCATGCCATTGTCCAATGATCATAAGGTGTTAATAACGGCTGTATGTTAAATTTGAATTCAAAATTAACAATTAATAAATCATTTACAATTTAATTAGGAAGAAAAAATAAAGTGAACCTGTATGATTAGTTTGAGTTTGACTTTAAAGGTCAAAAGTATCAGGAGGTCTCAGGTTCAAATCTAAGGAGGAATAAAAATCCCCTTGTGGCCACGGATGTTCAAATACGGTGACTCCGGGATATCTGCAAAGCAAGTGGTCGCTTTGAGATTAGTCAGCTCGCATAGCGGGTTGGATATCCAATTCCATGTTAATAAAAAAAGTGATGCAAATAATTTTTTCTGCAAAAATTTAAATAGAAATCTTGATTATGTTTGACGAATATACTAATAATTAAGTTCGACTTTGCAGCCCGATAGACCCGATGAGTTGGAAAGGATCGAACACTTGGGTGGACGAGTGATTGATTGGAACGGGCAACGTGTGTTGGGAGTTCTCGCTACATCGAGATCGATAGGTATGAACCAAAAAACGTATTTAAATTTGATCTACTTTTATGTTTTTAAACACTGGAACATAAATCAATTATGAGACGATTTATCGAGCGTTTATATTTAAATTATGCAGGTGATAAACAATTAAAACCGTATGTAACAGCAAAACCAGAGGTGATTGTACATAAAAGAGACGGTATAGAAGAATTTATGATACTAGCTAGCGATGGATTATGGGATGTCATGTCTAACGATTTGGCATGTCATGTCGTGAGAAAATGTCTAGATGGGCGGATTTTTCGAAGGAGATCGCAACAAATGAATGCTACCATGAAAGGGAACAAACCCAGAGCGACAAATGCAGCTGTAGTCTTAACGGAACTAGCAATTGCTCGTGGCAGCAAAGATAATATAAGTGTTATTGTCGTGAATCTTAAAGATTAGATCTCTGACGATTGTTAAGGGTGGTGTCGTCACCTTCCTTTTTTTTTTTCCCATCCATTGTGATTCATTTTCGTGTTTTTGATGGCTTTTGTAAGTAATGCCATTTGTGTTTTTAAAGGCTTGTTTAACTTCGACTTCTGTTCTAATAATACAAATGTTGTATATATGTATACTAATATTGGTTATATCAGTAAAAGTTATACTTTATCTGTATGGTGATCAGTGTTTTAAAAAAGCATGTCATGACAGCCACCATGGTACACTGTGACTCAAGATAGTCTCATACACCACGTTAGCCCCATGGTCTGATTTTTAAGGCGTTTGATTCGTTTACTTTTTACCTTTTAGTGTTTTGCTGTATAATTATCTAATTCAAATTGGTCAATATCATTAATTTATGGATTAATAACGTAAAATGTTGTTATCTATACTATATTATAAAGTATTTGACAAAAACTCTTACAAACCATTTTTTATGCATAAAGTACTGTTTATTAATGTATGTTACTTAAAACTCAAGATTAGAAATAGATTATGCGTAAGTACAACTTATTAAAGCTTCATATCTAAATTTGTGTAACTAACTGCAGATAAACATAATCAAATACATTATAAACATATCATTTTAAATATAAAAAATCTAAAATATAATTAGGATAATTATTGAGTTTTAAGAGAATACTTAATTATTATCTTTATAAAATGTTATATTATTAAACCAAAAATAAATTATTTCATTATTAAACTTAAATTAAATTATAATAAACTTAAATTAAATTATAATAAATCAAAATAAACTAAAGAAATTACATAAAAATTGAGAATTTTTAAATAATTGATTTGATATTAACATTGATATATTTTTTTCAAAAATAAAATCATTATTGTTTTTTTAAAAACACATAAAATCGTATTATAACATCGACAGAGACAAATAATAAAATAGAACATTAAAATCGAGATATATCTCACTGCATTGTGCGAGTACTTTTCTAGTATCTCATAATGTATATGATATAAAGATTCTTGTCGTGGCACCTAAAGCTTGATGTTTGACCTATCGTCATGCCACTTGTCACATCATTTAGAACCTTGATGGTGATCCATTTGTTTCCTCGAGTAAATCCCGAAAAACATCGGGCAGGAGATTAGGGTTTTGAGCATATGGACTTCGTATTTATGGATATGATTGGAGCTAAATTTTTGTCCAATCTTCAAACTAAAGGTTTGTTGATAGTTAAATTTGCTTTTAGCTGATTGCTTAATACTTGAGACTTTATAGTCCAATCCATGTGGATACAATCTTGGTTTTTACCACTTCACTACTAGAAACGGAGTATCACTGACGACATTTTGTCGACGACCACTTTTCCGGTGATTTTCGACGAATCACCGATGAAATTGAGTATCACGTGACACAATAGGGTTGCATTGGCAGTCTGTCGTTAATAAAAAAACCATCGACGGATGATAAAATAATTTACTTTTTATTAATGTCCGTCAGTAACCCGTCGGTAATTACCAACGGATCTCGACAGATTATTAAATAATTTAATTTTTGTTTATTTTTATGAAATCTTTATCCATCCTTTGGTAATTACCTACGGATGATCATTAGGTAATTATCGACGGATTTTGTATCCCGTCGGTAATTACCTAAGAACCACCGACGCCTTGGATTTTTTTTGTTGATGTATGCATCTATATGTATGTATGTTTTGCTCAATGATGGATGTTTACTTGTATATATATATATATATATATATATATATATATATATATACACGTATATGAATACACGAATGTATTATCTATATATACACGGTATAGATTGATATATTAATATAGTGCATATATATATATATATATATATATACACATATATGTGTGTATCGGTTTTCATATATCGGAGACATTCTTTTAAGAGTTTGTTAATTTTTGAGATCTGTGAGATCCAATTTAAATCACAAAAGATTTGTTGAAAAAATCCTAATATAAATTAAAAAACTTCTCTTTCTCTTTCCTATTTTTTCTTCCAAACATGTCTCTTTCAATTAGAAAAATGCTCTTCCATCGAAGAAAAAACATCTTTATACAATATTTTCTCAACCTGTACGAACATATTAATCTACACAAACAACTGTATCTATACAAAACTTAATGAAAACAAACTAAGAGGGTGTTTGAGATTGCTTATTTGAAACAACTTATGTTTTTCTACAAAAAAAACACTTATCAATTTATTATAAGTCAGAAGGGTTTAAAATCTGTAAAAACTCTTTATTACCGGTTTGATACTGGTATAAATTATTTATCCAAACACTCAAAAATACTTATTACAGATACCACATTAAAATAAGTCAATAAAATATATTTATAAACAATCTCAAACACCCCTAAACAACCCCTAACCCATGAGCACTTGGCCATAAGCCGTGAATTCATCCACAAATTCAAGTTTTTGAGATGATTTGTAATCAGCCCCCTGACTTTGGCCTAATTACGCTATGAACCCTCATCCAAACCTTGTTTGTCACATTCCATCCCTTGGTTCTGTTTTTTACACTCTCACTTATTTTTCTTAATTATTTATTTACTTAACGATCTTAAAATTCACTTTAATGAAAAAAGTGGAATACCAACAATTTTGGGTTTGGTTTGATTTACTTTATTGGGCCAAATAGTCTACTTTTACAATTGGGCCAAAGAGTGTTAGATTGATGCTATGAGCCCATAAGAAATTTCTCATAATTACGATGACACATAAAAAATAAATATTTTTAATATTCAGTAGAAGGGTACTCGCATAATAAAGCGATACATCTCGATTTTGATGTTTTTTTTTGTCTTAGCCGATGTTGCAATATGGTTATGTGATTTTGAAAAAATAATAATTTTATTTTTGAATAAAATATAAATATGAATATATAATAAAACTTTGAAAAAAATTAGATCGATATTAGTATCAAAGTAAGTATTTAAAATTTCTTATGTTTTTTTGTAATTTTTTAGTTTATTTTTTTAATTTAATTTAATTTAGATTTAATAATATAAATTTTTATAAAATAATAATTAAATATTTGGTTAAAACTCATTGATTATCCTAATTATATTTTAGATTTTTTATATTTAAAATGAGATGTTTATTCTCTATTTGATTATGTTTATTTGTAGTTAGTTATACGAATTAAAACACAAAGCTTTAATAAGTTGTACTTATGCATAACTTATTTGTAATCTTGAATTTTAAGTAATATACATCAATAAACAGTACTTCATATATAAAAAATTATTTTTAAGAGTTTTTGTCAAATACTTTATAATATACTATAGATAAAAATAATCATCAAGTCAAAATTGTTGGTGAACAAAATACGAGCTGACATGAGAAGCAAGTTTCAAACGATTCTTATTTATTTGGTTTAGAATAATAATTTTCTATAAAAAATAGTATATGGAAACGGTAAACCGTAAAACCAAAAATAATTGTAATAAAAATCAATCAATACGATATGCTACAAAAACATAAAGGAAAGTATATTTGCTTCCATTTATGATCAAATAAGAGTGTTACCATCGATATCGTATAATATCACTAATGAAATGTTGATTCTATTTATAGCAAGATATCGATGTTAAAGAAACACGATTACGTCTTTTTATCCCTTTATCAAAATTGTTGGCTTCACGATCCTATCTTTACGTCTTGTGATGTGCTAAAAAGCTCCAAGATCCTATTAAAATCAATGTTCCTCGTGTCGTCCTCGATGGGTAAGCAGTGGATAGTCGTGGTTTGGATCTATCTTTACCCGATTTAGCGCTCTCGAAATAAACTCGTGTTTGGTAGTTTGTGTTGTGGTGACCATGATGACTTGTTGATCGATATCCAAATTGGTTCTCTTATCGGGCTAAAGCTTTATCTGGGTCTTGGATGATGTGGTGGTGTACTCCGGCTGCCTGTTCTTGTTACTGGGTTATGATATTCATTTTGTTAACATGAGTAAATAAAACTAACAAACTGAAGCATGTGTATTCCTTGTCTTTATATGATTTGTCTTCATATCAGTAAATAAAACTCAAAATCGTATGCAATCATTACAAGCAACCAGATCTTTTCTGACTGAATTATTTATTACAGATCGACAGCACATGTGCTAATTAATAATAGTTATTATAGACCTGTTACACCAGTTAGTAAAGGTATACCAGTACAGGTATTTACGTACATCGATAATGGCGAGGACCAAGTCATCACTAATAGACCAGTATAAAAAGGGTCAAAATTACTTGCACGAAAAATGTTCTCTTCATTTTTTTTATCAGTCTTCTCTATTCTCGTATTATATCAGAAATTGACGTTTTTTTGCGAGCTTGTACAAACAGTTATACACTTTATGAATCAGATTTTGTTTCATTAAATATGTAGACTTTAAAAAGAATCAACTAAAATTACTCTTAGAAATACATATATAAATATTTTCTTGCTATTTTTTTCTATATGTTTATCTACGGTTGTAAAACGTATGTTACGTTTATTTGTGTAAATACATAAATGGTTATGAAGTTTACCTTCATGACTTGGGATCATGTAAGACCAAAGGTTTTTCGTGAGACCCGTAATACCAATTCTTAACCCTTGGATTAGATTTACAATCTGAACATTCATAATCACAAAATTGCCACGAGTTGCCACCGTGCAACTTTAAACCATTAGATCGTTAGCTTATAAAGTTGATCAATGAACATAAATTGGTTTTACGAGTCTCACTAAAAACCCTTGGTCTCACGTGAACCCAATCCTTACGTTCATTCCTACCTTCCAACTCTTTTTAGTAATTATCAGCTTTAGATAAGTATTTAATTAAATTTCTAAAATAATATTTTCAACCTCTAAATTTTGAAATTTCTTAAACTGTTTCTAGGTTTACCACAAACAAGTTTTCGAACTATAAGCTTTTAAAAGGTACACTTTCCAAAAATAAAATTTTCATGAATTTATTTTCTAATAGAGGTGTTCAAAAACACCGTTCCACTATTAAAACCAGTCGAAGCAAATCAATTCGGACCATTTTTGGCGGTTTGAACGGTTTGTTGGTCTGGTTTAGTCTGAAGAATAGTCAAACCGCTCGGTTCGATCCATGCTAATCGACCGCCAAAATACATATCTGTGAATTATGTTTAGTTTTCATGTTGTAAGCTCAATTTTTACGG